GGAGAAGGATGAGGTGTGTGAGCCCTGGAACAGGTGCACGAAGTCCACGGCGAGGAAAAGTGAGGGCAGAGGAAGGGGCTCAGCCTTGTCTGCCCAGAACCGCTGATCCACTGTTGACACCACTATCAGGAGAGCTGCCCCAAGCTAAGCAGCTGGAAGAGCAGTGCACCAGTTTCCTTTACCCTAAACTTCCTTGTCACCTGGAGTGGGGCTGGGGTCAGCCAGGCACTGGCATAGCAAGGGCACATGCATGGCTATGACAAAGCATGGCTATGTCACAAGCATCTCTTTTCAGAAGCCTTGGGAGATGGAGAAAACGAGGGCACAGTGAAAGAGAAATGAGAAAGAAGGAAACAAAGGCAAGTGGCCACAGAGGCATGGAGAGAAAGGGGGCAGGGGGAGGGGGAGAGACAGAGAGAGAGACAAGCCAAGACAGAAAAGAGAGAATGTAGAGAGGTGGCAGAGAGTCTGATAAGGAAGTGAAATGAGACAAAGATGATTGGGAGATTGGGAGAAAAACGGAGAGCGAGGTTGTGAGATTGAGAGGACGGTGAGAGAAAGGAAGGCGGAGAGAGAGGAAGGAGGAAGGGAGAGAGAGAGAGAGAACATATACAGCGTGGAGACAGAGCAGCAGAAAATGGAATAGGTCCTAATTTTGAACCTTTGCCAACATCTGAACTTGCTATTCTGCTATCAATTTTTCATCTGCCACTAAGACAGGCTGAACGAGCTAAGCCTTAGGTTTTGTTGATTATGGAATGTTCCATTCTGATGTGGACCAAGGGTAACTTCTCTGGATTTCTAAATGAGCCAAATGCAGTTAGGAAAAGAGAGTAAGGAAAGACAGGTAGGGCAGGGAGATGTACACCAGGGGTCCTCAAACTTTTTAAACAGGGGGCCAGTTCACTGTCCCTCAGACTGTTGGAGGGACAGACTATAGTTTAAAAAAAACTATAAATAAATTCCTGTGCACACTGTTCATGTCTTATTTTGAAGTAAAAACACAAACAGGCAAAAACACCTGCATGTGGCCCATGGGGCATAGTTTGAGGACACCTGATATACACGATACCAAGAAGGATGAAAACTACAGTCAATGAGCCCATTCCCTGCAGGGCTGGAGAGGAACTTTCCTTACCTATTAGTGTCACTCCCTGGGAGTAGGGTGCTCAGGGCCACATGAGGGCATCAGTCACCTTGGTAGCTCCAGGGCTGGCCTAGCTGCCCACAGACTCTCCCTTTTACCTCCCTCATTTCTGCCAAACACTGGGTCAAAGATCTGGCTTTACCACGACCTCAACCAGGTGATCCTTGCCCACATGGACAGCAATTTCACTCTCCCTGAGAGAAGCCAGGGTTGAGCTGGGTGAGTGGAAAGAAGGACTGGGTCTCCTGGGTTTCTGAAATTCACTGGCTTCCACAAAACCCCCCACCCCTACCCTTCGATTTGCAGCACTCGCTGTAGGACTCACTGGGGTGGTGGTGCCCAGAGAAGAGGGACAGAGGGAGGACAAGGAGATGGCAGCATGCTCCACTGCACCGCTCCCCAGAATGCAATGTGACACAAGACATCGGGAGATGGCAGCGAAAGTTCAAGGGAAAAACACACAGTTATTTATGGCTCGGGCATCTGTTGTCAGATCAGAAACAGAGACCTAATCTAAGGCAAATCCAGCAGCCTGTACCAGAGCAGATGGGGAGGTGTGTGCAATGCTCAATCCTGTTCAGCTCTCAATTTATTATTATTCCTCATTCCCAGATCCCATCTCCAAAGGAGACATTTGTCCCGGCTACCATGCCAGGAGCCCTGGTGGGTGGACAGGGAGAGGAGTGTATTCTTCCACTGAGTGGGTAGTTATTTCCATTGTGTGCCTTGGAGGCTTCCATGTGAGAAGAGAAGGTTATGGCAAAATCCAAAAAGGAGACAAGGAAATAGGGAGCAAAGGAAAATTCCAGCCCAAGAAAACCACAGGCTAAATGGAAATGGGGTTGGCCTGAAGTCCAGAGACAAAGGCTCCAATCTTCTCCTGTCCTACCCACTGAGTGACCTTGAGCAAGTGATTTCACCTATCCGGGTATGCCCTTCTGCCAAACGCTTGGGATTTTGTGACTGCGCATTCCCGAGATTATACAAAGATGCCTGCTCAAACCAAACATGAGGGAAAGAACACAAAATCTGCAGTCAAGAGATCTGGGTTTCAGTCCTAATTTGCTAAGCACTCGTCTAGAAATCTAAGGCAAAACACCTTTCCCTGCTGGCTCTCAGTAGTCACAAAAGGCATGGGTGAGTTTCAGTCCCTTTCCCACTGTAAAATTTCCACCATTCCATGAGATGACAAATGTGAAAATTATCAGAAGAGGCAAAATGAATAAAGTCTGAGGAATTCGAATGGGGCTCCCAGCCCATGGTAGGTACTTGACCTACCTTGGTGGGATGAGCAGAGTCAGTCTCTCATGGTGATTCCTGGGTTCCCTGCCATGCAGACCCACAGCCCCCCCATGGGACAGGTAGACCCACCCACACCCCACTTCACCCTGGGGACAACCCATCTATCTCACAAGACCCCCCACATTAGCACAGGCCTGTCTCCAGGAGCAGTCTGCTGGAAGAGGCTAGAAGGAAGAGGAGGGAGAGTGGGCTGGAGCTGTCTAGAGGAAGGAGGCTGCTTAGACAAGGCTTGGTGGGCCTTCACTAGGCTCTCCCTGCCTGTGCCGATTGAGCTGCCTTGCAAGACTTTTTAAGAAGTTTCTGTAATCCCAGGAGACACCTTATTTTTCCCATTTGAGATGCACCTTCTCAACTGAAAATATGCATCAACAAGCTCTAGATGTTTCGTTAAAAAACAGAATTAAATTTCCCGACCTGCCTAGATCCATTTACACTTTGGTCAGTGTGATGCAGAAGGCAGTGCCCCTTGGTGGGACCCATAGCAGCCAAGGTCAGGGGACCTGGCCTCCCGCAGAGAGCAGGACAAACAGACGTCTGGACCTGACTGACTGTAGGCTCACTTGCTGGGAGGCTCTGGCCCCAGGAGGGCTACGTAGATCTTGGAAACTAGGTAGTCTGATATAGTGATAATGATAAATAAAGACCTGGAGCAAAGCTTCAGGTAGACAGATGTTTTGATTGACTAGACACAGGTGTCTCTGTCGCCAGTGCCTGAGAGAGGGTGGGTGATGGGAGAATCACATTTCCGCTCCCATTCCCAGGGGCCGTCAGCTGCTGCACCTCACATGTGTGTTTTGCATTCCTCTCACTACCCAGGCAATCAGAAAGGACTTTAGGCTGCCAGCAGTCCTCACTAATTAGCATTTGCCAGTGACCAAGCAAGACCTCACTCTTCCCTGAACTTTATTCCTTCCCTGGGGTACACAGCTGGAAGGGAGGAGTTGATATGATTGGCCGCCTCTAAATAATGCCTAACTGGGAAGTCTCTTGGGACCATTCCATGGGAAGAAAACCTGAAAATTTGTGTTGAGACAAGAGATCTGCCCCTCGGCCCAGCCAGACCCCTGAGCGAAGAGAAGTAGGGAACTAGATCTCATTACCCCAGGCTGCGAGAAAGAAGCCTCCAAGGAAGACAGTGCCCACACCTGGTGAGATGATGAGGCGGCCCCCTTCTTCCCGTCCTGGGCGGGCTATTTCTGCAGCTTGAATCTCTGCAGTTGGTTTTGCCTATGTTGGCATCTGTTCGTAGCTTATACCAGCTAATGTCTGCCAATGGCCTAATTATCATCAAGGATAAGAAATTAAGAAATTATGAATGTGTAGACACTTCTGTTCTCATCCTAATGGTTTGTGTATTTAATGGTTTGTTTATTATTTAATGCTTTGTTTATTTTATTGATGGCATCTGTCCTCATTTGAACCTTACAAAGTACAAATTGGACTTCGTACTTACTCTTATTTGAAGTTTCCCAATCTTTGCTACCTTTGCTTTTTTAACTGCCTCTAATGAGGGCAGCAGTTATTGTTTAAATTGATAGATGAGAGGTAGAGAGATGGAGAGAGAGAGAGAGAGAGAGAGAGAGAGAGAGAGAGAGAGAGAGAGAGAGAGAGAAATAATAGGGTCACTAGGGTAGCAAAGGCTTTGGAAATCATGTCTGTTGAAGGAACCAATGATGTATAGCCTAGAAAAGAAAAAGTGTAAGGGGAACATGATAGCTTTCAAGACTAAAATTATATTTTTAAAGTGTTTTTTACATTGCGAAGCATAATACATGTATAGAAAAGTATGAAAAATAAAAACATGGCTTAACCAATTATTAAAAAAGAAATTCATGTAACCGCTCCCCCCAGAGCAAGATAGACATCATTGCCATCCCTGCCCACTCCCTGCCCTTCCCCACGGCACCCTACTTCTGCCCCTCAGTGGTGGCCTCCATCCTCACAGCTCTGCCTTCTATAGCAATCAGCTTTTTAAAACGTTGTTTGTAGTTTATCATCTAAATATGCAACCCAAACAATACAGTTTGGTTTCGCCTGTTTTTGAACTTTATATATATCTATGGAGGTATATGGTATGCCATCTCCTTTGCTCAACATTGTGGGTTTTTTTTGAGATTCACCCATGTTGTTGCTAATAATTATCGTTTGTTCATTTTTGTTAGTGTATGGTATTTTCCTTGTATGAATATGCCATAATATATTAATCCAACCTAAGGTTCGTAAATATTTGGGCTGCGTCCAATATGGGGCCAATAAGCTGACAGTGCTGCTGTGGACAGCCTCCCTTGTGTGTCCTGGCACATGCTCCCATAGGGTAAATGTCCAGGAAGGTCCTAGAGTTTGCATGTCTTTGACTTAATGGATGACACCAAATATTGTTTTTCATACTGGTTGTTCCAATTGACTATCTCTCTAGCAGTGACGAAACTTAACTTTGCACTTCATCTTTGCCCACACTTGCTATTGTCAGATTTTTATATGTTCTGCCAGTTTGATGAGTATGTAGCAATATTCCAATGTGGTTTTAATTTGCACTTACCTCGTTATTAATGGGGTTGAGCATCTTGTTACGTGTTTGCTGGCCATTTACAAATGTCAGCCAGTCTTTTGCCCATTTTTTCATCTGGTTGTCTTTCTTCTCATCCTTTGGAGGAATTATTGATATGTTATGAATTAAAGCCCTTTGTCAGATGAGCATGAATCAAATACCTTATTCTAGTAACTGGCTTCCTTTCTACATTTTATTGGGGTCATTGGATAGTCAGATTCACAATTTTAATGTTGTCACATGCACCAATCTTTTAATTTATAATTAATTCTTTTTGTGTCTTGTTTAAGAAATTCTCCCCTATGCACTTTAAATTCCAAGTTAAGATTTATATATGTATAATATATATTTAGTTCTAGGAGTAAAATTGAGACCTGTGCTTCTGCTACTACAAGGAGGCACATTTTCAAAACAGAGAAGATTTTCTCACATTTCAGAGTGGACAGCCTTGGAATGGACCATCTTGCTCCCTGTCACCCAGAGGCTCCAGCAGAGAGTGGGTAAGACCCCAAGGATGCCGTAGGGGAAGTCTGCCTTAAGTGAGATCTCTGTGGTCCATTCAGACACCACGATTGTAAGTCTCTAATCAGTGATAAAATGTGCTTTGATGAATATTAAACCAGTAGGGATCTTTAGCCAAGACACAAGTCATGACACCTTTGAATGCTTATTAATGCAAACAGACATAAATGCATGTACCCCACACTCCTTGGGTCTCATAGTGTATCTTCGCTCCTGTTGCCCAGCCAGGGAGCTTCTCTTGCCTCTGTGACCCACGCCTCATTCACAGAAGGGCACTAAGCCCGTGCATGGTCTGTTGGTGCCACTGGCTGAGGTTATAGGCAGTGGTAGAAAATAGGGTTTATTTCAAGCTATCTCAATAGGTGGTGGTTTCCTGGAGAGCCCGTCTAGGACTGAGAAATCGCAGAGGCTGCCTGGCTGGGGCTTCATCTGAAAACTCCCGATAGGGAGCACTGCGGAGAGATTGGCCCAAGGATGTGGGTTGCCCTGGAGGCCCAGCCCTGAGCTGCCCAAGCTTCCGAGGACAGAGCACAGAGGCAGCAGCGGGACCTCTGCTAATGCTTGGACAGTAGAGGAGATCTAATCCTAATCCCCCAAACACAGACCTTCCCCAGGTCTGTTTGTCTTCCCCTAATCCTCCAATATTTAAAGCAATTTCAATCCTGTTTGAAGAGACTTCCCAGCAGTTTGAGTCTGGGGCCTCTAGAGGGAGGGAGGAAGAGAGGGAGGGAGGAAGGGAGGGAGGGAGGAGAGGGAATGGAATGGTGGGGAGGAGTGAGAGCAAGAGGAAGTCCTGGAGAGGAGGGCGGGACTGGGACTGGGACAAGGACAGGCGCAGGTGCTGGCCGAATTGTATCTTCCCTCTCAGAGATGGCTTCTTCATGATTTCTGAGAGAGTGAGGCTGGGGAGGGCAGAAGAGAAGGGGGCCTTAGACTGAGTTCATTCATTCCCTCATTCAGTCAATCATAATACGTATTGAGCGCCTGCTGTGAGGCTGAAACTCCACTGACCTTGAACAGGTAACCACCAGAATCATAATAATCACAGGAGAGAAGTACAGACTGCGGTGGGACCCTACACAGGTCACTCAAACTTGAGATAGGGTCAGACCTGTCTGTAGAAGCCGAGACTTGACCATTCATTTGGAGGCTGTTTTATAACTACATCACCCATACCTTCTGTTCCTTGCTGAAAAAATGAGTCCTGCTTCTTCTATCCTGGTGTCCCTTTAGTTCCAGAGCCCCTGGGCTCCTGCTCCATCAGTCTGGACTGGCCAAAATTAGAAAACACTGTGTTAGACTCTGCCAGGTTATAGTCAGCTCATATAAGGACCCTGGGAGAAAGGAGTCTCTCAGAGAGACCAAGGGAGTGGCTCTGTCTAGAGAGATAAGTGGCAGTTGAGGAACTGTCTCTTTCCTTACGCTTTGCCTTGTTTTGACAGACGGGGAACAGGACATGCCTCTGAGCGGGGCCTCCTCATTAGAGAACATCCACCCACCCCAGCTCATTGAGGGGTCCCTCCCCTTAAGCCACACCCCTTCCTTTACAAATACTTAACTGAGATGCTAGACGGATGGATGGATGGGTTGGATGGTGGACAGGCAGACAGATGGACAGACAGACAGATGGACAGACAGGTAGATCTATTTTAGATAGATGAATGGTAGCTTCATTTCTCCTAGGATTTTAGAAAAGAAGGCAGAAAGTAGGAGAAAAGATTTTATAACCTCATAGCATGCAAAAAACGAAAACAGCAAAGCCAAGAATCATCTTCAGCAATTTTTATAATAGGAGTGCAAGCAACAGATGCATAGCAAATGCACAATTTATTTAGGAGGTCCCCCGAGGGCGCTGCCACACAGAAATGAGAAAAGAGGGCTGGCGACTGTTAGCGTGAAGTCTGCTAAGCTTTCCCTTAACTCCTCCTGTGTGCAGGGGCAAGAATGCAGGCTAGGCTTTGCCTGAGCGACTACTAATGTTCTGATAATGTATACAACATAAGGCGATCTACCGAGACACTTTGGCACAGGGTGTCCAACTTTAACCTTAAGCCGTGGTATTCTAGCCCATCTCTGCCAATAGCTGCCCGAGTGAACTTGGGCTGCCCTTTCAAATTACAGGCCTCAATCTTCTCATCTGTGAAATGGAGATTAGATCAGGATGTCGCTATGATCCCACCTGCCTTGGAAACTCTTTGATGCTAAACCAGGAAAGCCCTAGCGAGGCCCAGAGCAACCAGAAAGACTGGCATCTTGCCGGGTTCCCACAGCTGCTCCCAAAGGCTCTTCCAGCTGGGATCCTCCATGCTCAGTAAGCCCCCACACCAGAATCGGAAACCAGACCTTCACGAGCCCTCCACCCGCCGCCCGCTGGCCCACCCCTGCACCCTCATCAGCACCCCTCACTCACGGAGGCCTTTCCAGTGCTCACATACCATGGTTTCATATTTTTTTTCAATTTTCAAAATTAAGACTCTTTCCTTTCTTTATCCTAAAGAAGGCCACTGGATCAGGAGTGTCTGCGCCCTGACCCACATCCCTCCCCTCGCGTCTGATTTCAGCCCGGGCTGCAGTGCACGGTTCTGTGCAGCTTGGGCTCCCCTCCTGCCCACACCGCTCTCTGCACGCCCTTTGCTTTCTGTCCTGGGGCTTCCCCGCTACCGCAGGGACGGAGGCTCCCTCTCTCCAAGGCTGACCTAGCTGCTACCAGGGGTGAATGTCGGGAGCAGAAACTGATGCCAAGATCTCAACGTGGTGCCATATACTGAGGAGGCAAATGAGCCACTTGTGGCGAGTGGATTACATCGTGCCCCTCCCGACCTGGAGAGGGCAGTGACCCCTCCCTTCTGGAACTGACACCTGCTCTGCACACCAGTTTGTCTTTACTGCCTGAAGTGCCTGTGTCGGCGCCTCTGTCTGAAGGCAGGGGGGAAATGCAGATTTCCAGGATCCGTGTAACATACTCTCAGACCCAGGGACCCGTTTTATGGCAAAGAAGGTGTGACAAGGGGTTCGCAGCCACCATATATCCCATCACCTTGAAGCAGCTGGCCCGACTGAACAATGGAGTGGCCATTAAAGGCCCCTTTGAAGTGCCAGCTTAGGGCCAGCACCCCGTGGGGTTGGGTGCTGTCCTGCAGGCTGTGCTGTGTGCACTGACCTGTGCTATGTGTCCTCAGCAGGGAGAGAGACTACACAGGCTCGGGGACTGAGGAGTAAAAGTCACAATGGTCCCTCTCGCTATCACTCTCAGTAAGCCTCTTGCAGAATTCGTGCTTCCAGTCCCTGCGAATCCAGGTTGTGCAGTATCGGCATTTCCTAGTGACCAGCCAGTAGGAGGAGGGGGAGGACAGGCTTCCACCAGAGGGCTGCAAGGGCTCCACCGCCCCTGAAGCCCCGGGCACCACCTGGTCACTTTAGACTGCCCATGCAGTCTAAAGGGCAAAAAACCGACAGTGGTTATCATGTGCAGCCAGGGCTGCTGCTGCAGAGTAGAAATGGGAAGGAGCACATCTGGGATTCGGGGGGTTCACTGGGACATTTCTCGGTGCTTCCGTGGATTGTGACAAGCATGAATGGACAGCAGCCACAGCGTGAAAGGGGAAGGGGTTTACACCTCTTGGGAATGCAGACCTGGGTCTCACTGGGATGCAGACAAACAACCTATCCCTTTGCTGTGACCGACAGAGCGAGTGACACTGTCACAAGTGGTGATGGAGGGGGATGGTGACTATCAATAACAGTTTCAGGGCCAGTGACAACAGCGGGCTCTAGGGCCGGTTCCGGTAACTTATGCATTGTCTTCTCTAGAGACTGGCTGGCCACCACCTTGGAAATGTGGTGACGGAATGGACTTAATGTAGGACACAAGGGGATCTGCGCATGCGAGGAGTGGACTGTATCCCAGGTCTCTGGCGCCCCAACTCACACACTCCGGTTTCAACTGCAGCTGCAAAGGACGGTGAGTTCCATGTAGACTTTGACTTCCTCCCCACCTAGAACAGCAGGGCCCCAGACGCACACCGTGGCTTTCTTCCTTTCCGGGCCTGGGCTTCATCGCTGAAGATGGAAAAGGGTCCCACTTCTCAAGCACATTAACTGGGGCATGGAAGGGATGGGCAAACGCTTTTCTCAGCCAGTTCTCTGGCGGGCAATTCTGGGAGGCTCTGCTGGATGTTCCAGGAGGAATATAGCCCAGTGATTCTCAGTTGTAACCTGCATGGCACTTCCTTATTTTGGCTTCTCCTCCTTCTCTTGCTCCTATCAGTTCCTCATTCCTGCTTCCTGGAATTACTTCCCAAAGGAACTACCTGTATGCAGGTATTTGCCTGGGGTTCTGCTTTCAGAGAAAACCCAACTGAAAATGTCGCTTCAAACTGTATACGCTGCAGGCCCCTCCCCACTCATCAGCAATAGCCTTGCTTGGCCCCCACCGTGCTCTAAATCTGCTTGCTGGGCCCTGGAACGTGGGCTTTCTCTGCTGGTGTTCCTGTGTCCCAACGACAATGGTGATCGGAAACCCTACACCCTTTCCTCATTCTTTCTTCAAAAGTGTGTCACAAGCCAACATGCCCTAGAGAAACAATATGGGCTTTGTGGTCACACATGCATGGGCCCATATTCTACTTCAGTCTCTCCCCAGCAGAACAACTGCAGGCAGCTTATGCTCTAAGCCAAAGAACATTTCCAACCTCTGATTTTCTCATTCCATACATTTTCCCTCAGCAATATCATTCACACCTTCTGTCTCAGATGCCTCTTCTAAATTTCCAAATCCACATTCCTAACCCCAACTTCTCTGATGACCTGTAGGCATCTCCTCCTCCTGTTTCTTCTTCATCTTCACCACCATGTAAGAAACACCTGAGAGGTACCAGGCACTGTGCTATAAGCCATCAAATCCGTTCTTATTCTCTTCTTTGTAAAGAACTGGAGAGGGGCCGGGCGCGGTGGCTCACGCCTGTAATCCTAGCACTCTGGGAGGCCGAGGCGGGCGGATTGCTCAAGGTCAGGAGTTCAAAACCAGCCTGAGCGAAGAAATTAATTGGCCAATTAATACATATAATATAAAAATCAGCTGGGCATGGTGGCTTGTGCCTATAGTCCCAGCTACTCGGGAGGCTGAGGCAGGAGGATCCCTTGAGCCCAGGAGTTTGAGGTTGCTATGAGCTAGGCTGACGCCATGGCACTCACTCTAGCCTAGGCAAGAAAGCGAGACTCTGTCTCAAAAAAAAAAAAAAAAAAAAAAAAAGAACTGGAGAGGGCAGGTAACTTGGCTCGGGACACAGGTAGTGGTAAAAAGTGGTATTTCAGTCAAGTACCCCTTGCTCCTGACCCTACATGTATCGAACAACCTGCTGTGCCTGTCCAACCTAGGATGCACTGGCTCCTCCAACTCAACCTGTGCCCAGCACAGCTCCCCAGTCTCCTTCCCACCCTGCTCCAAAACCTGCTGCTTTGATCAGATTTGGGTGAACGGTGTGTTCGTTTATCCAATCCTTTACCCCAGCGTATATTGATGTCTGCTTTGTCAAAGATCAGTTGGCTATATGTGGATGGTTTTATATGTGGGTTCTCTGTTCTGTTCCATTGGTCTATGTCTCTATTTTTGTGCCAATGCCATGTTGTTTTGGTTACTATATATAGACTTGTAGTATAAGTCTGGTAATGAGATGCCTCCCAGAGTTATTCTTTTGGATTAAGATTGCTTTGGCTATTTGGGCTCTTTTCTGGTTTCAAACAAAGCATGTGATTCTTTTTTCTAGATCTGTGAAATATGATGTTGGTATTTTGATGGGGATTGCATTGAATCTGTAAATCACTTTGTGCAGTATGGACATTTCAACAATGTTGATTCTACTGAACCATGGGCATGATATATTTTTCCATTTGTTTGTGTCCTCTGAAATTTCTTTTCACAGTTCTCTTTGTAGAGATCTTTCACCTCCTTGGTTAAGTATATTCCTAGGTATTTTATTTTCTTTGTAGCTATTGTGAATGGTATTGAGTCTTTGATTTGACTGTCATTGGTGCATAAGAATGCTACTGATTTGTATACATTGATTTTGTAACCTGAGACTTTGCTGAATTTATTTATCAATTCCAGGAATCTCTTGGTGGAGTTTTGGGGGGGTTTTCTGGCTATAAGATCCTATTGTCTGCAAAAAGCAAGTTTGATCTCCTCTTTCTCAATTTGGATACCCTTTATTTCTTTCTCTTGCCTGATTGCTCTGGCTGGGACTTCCAACACTATGTTGAATAGAAGTGGTG